TTTATATATAACTACATTAAAAACCTGTAAGAATTCACATTCATTTTATTATTTTATTATTTCAAATGTTGACATTATGTTTTTACTATCAAGATACATTTTAATTAACTTTTATTTTTTGATATTTTCTTAATTGTGACGCCACTAGTATAATATTTGAGCAAACTAATATCTTGATCTCTGTATTTAGTTAAATTAAGTCATAAAAATGGGTGGTGGTGGTGGGGGGTGGGGGGGTGGGGGGGGGGGGGAGAGAAAGTAATACTTGTCAAACGAGTCAACATATTTGTTCCTTGCGAGTTGCGACGGAACAGCTGTTATCTAACATTTGTACTAAAGCAGTCTAACCAAGACCATGACCACGAGGTTTGGTTCTATAATTTAGACCAATTTCCTTATGTCACATTTAATTCTGTTTCCATCATTGCTTACGTATATAAAGTACAACAAAATTAGAAGAAGATGAAAAAACAAAAATTAACGAGTTAAATGGTAAACAATGCTACTATATGCACATGTACCACTATAATAAATTAATAATTACGATTTAGTCTATGTAGATAAACCTTATTATAAGTAGCGATTAGCGACTTCACCAACTCATTCATAGGGTTACTGTATAGCTAAGCTACAGAATCGAGCCAGAAACAATGGGAAGTTTGTGTAGCACGTAGGTGGAATCACATGCACATTAAGCGGGTCGGGTTGAAAACTCTATTAGAGGGGTGATTTCCGCAAATAGATAATTAATTGAGTGACACTATTTATATTTTGATCCTGTCAGACTTGAAAGCTTGTGGGACAGAACTTGGTCACAAGTTCTAATTGATCGGCAAAAGCTCTAATGGATGGGCAAACTTGCCTCGCCAAATTGTACAAATTGTATATAATAAATAGATAATTTTTGAACACATTACAAAAAGAATCGTGATAAGTGACAAGACTTATTACCGTAGGTTCTGAGGAATCGTCATTAAGAATATTGCCACAAGTTCTACTTGTTCTTGTTTTATTCTTTTTACTATTATTGTTATTTAAGAATTGGTTCCAACAGTAATATTCTTAGAGGCGTAGCTGATGTGTTTAAGAATTTTTTAGTATTCTTATTTAACAATATTCTTCTTAATAAATTCAATCTAAATACTTAATGGCTAATTCAACTAGAAATTATAGGATTTTCTACTCCATTTTAATTGTGCATTTGTTTTGACCACTTAGTTCTCTTTTTAGAGGTGTAGCTAATGTGAAAATACCTATATTAAAAATTTTCACTCTTACTTCTCCGCCCTTTCAAGAAGTAATCATGCCATTGCGTGCTCAAACAGACCCCCCCCCCCCCCCCCCAAACCCAAAAAAAAAAAATCATGAATTTAAGTTTTAAAATTACATATATGGGGATGGAGGGACTGCGCAAGAATGAAGTAAGAACATTCTTATTTGATAATCTAAGTGTAGAATGAAGAGAAAAAGAGAGCTTTCACCATCTAGGTGGTAGAAGAAAAATGAAAAAAGATGAAGCAGCTTTATCTGATGGAGACTGAGAAAATAGTAAGCTAATAAGTGAGGATGATGAAGTTGAGAGAGTTAGAGAAAGATTAGATTGAATAGATTGATGGATAGAGATATATATAAATAGCTAGTGTGAAGTAATAATCATTGCTAAAAACCAGATTATTCTGTGGAAATTGGGGCCACCCGGCCATTGATTCCATAAAGCTTTGTCACATGTCTTTCAAACCTCCTAAAATCTTCAAAAATCTCATGGCTAATCATCTCCCTTTCTTTTTCACTTTATTTTTTGCCTCCCTTTTCTCCCCTAGTAAGATTTACTATCATTGCCATTTTGAAAGTTGAAAAATTATTATATACTCATTTACACACACAATAATTTCTCTAATCTCATCTCTTTACTAATCATTTCTCTTGCTTTAGATATCGTACCAGACCCTTTCTCGGTCCCTTAGCTTCCCCTTACCTTCACTTCCTTTCTTTCTCATATATATCTTATTAACTACTTCTCTGTTTCAGAGAGAAGCGGTGCTTCAGAGTAATGATAAAGTTATTTCTGTGTGACTTATAGGTCATGGACTCATTGGTTTGAGCCGTGAATGCATCCACTAATACTTGCATTAGGGTAGGTGGTAGGCTGTCTATACTACACTCATTGATGAACGTGAAACTGGATGGCCCTTTTTCTATTTCAAGAACTTTTTTTTTTTTGTGCGTGTGTTCTTTAAACTTTTCCGGTGTTTAAACATAAATTCTTCATATTTTCTGGAGTGCCGTTTTCTTTCATGATTCTCATCAAAGGGCAACGATAACAAATGAAGGTCAAGCATCGAAATGAACTTCCCGTTCCATTTGGAGTAGGAATTTGACATCAGAATATGAAAAAACTCGTACACTTGCATTTAATATGAATTGTACAGTTAAAGAAGTTGTGGGGACTCTAGAGAAAAGTTTTGATTAATTAAATAGTCCCACGTACTTAAAAAAATAGACTTGTAATGAAATGGTGGGTCTTAAAATTTTGGTACCCACTGAAAATATTATTGTTTGCTTAATATTTAAGAGATGAAACGTGTGTAGATCGTAAGTCTGCAGGTGTGACATATAATTAAAAGATCATAACTTGCTCTAAATAAATGAAATTGTCCCTCGAAAGATAAAATTATTTTGCCGTCTATTGTAGAAATTAAGGAAGTGTGTTACACGACTATGTATTACTACTCCTATACCTTATCCGATTCATCATTTGAACATTATGGTCTCGAATTTGGGATTCTTATAGATGAACCCATATGTTATATGTGTCTCTGATTGTATCTTGTTATAGTAAGTGACTTATCTTACTGAAGATTATCTGTAAGTATATTTTTTTGTGTAAAAATCTGTTTATATTACGAGGGTATAGAAGCTAAACTCAAAATATTAGTTTGTATATGGTGGAAGCCTATTCAATTTCGCCCCTCGATGGGAAAGTGATACCACGTCGTCGGAAGGCCAGGACGCCGAGCTCGAGGTCGAAGCTCCTTTTTAGTGTCGAAGTCGATATCATTTACCGAGGTCAGAAGAAGGCATGCTTCGAGATGATACCGTTATGATTCAATAACGGAAAGAGCGAGATACCTGCACCGGGCCGGAGATCACGGCGTAAATTTCGGAATGGATTGGTCTTCAGCGGTTAGACAGCTATCTAATATGATTTCCTACCGTAATTAGAAGTGTACCTTATATAGGACTATCTTATTATATAAAGGGGGATCCCATTCATTTGTAACCCAGTGTTCACTGATAAGAAAATATACGCGCATTATTCTCTTGCTATTTTGCTTACTGTTCTTCAGAATTGTTTTGTCGTTTATTCCCATCATCATGCCTCGAGACTGTCACAGGTCGAGGTTGAGAATTAGCCTACACGCTGGTTTGATTTACTTTATTCTTTAATTTATTTATTTAATCCCTTGTTTATCAATTGGCGTTGAATTAAATCACATATTCTTAAAATCACAACACAAGTTTAATTGTTACTCGAATTTTGAAGTAAACATAGTTGTATACCAATATGTACGTTGAAAATAATCGCGCGTGGTTGGAGTTTTTTCTGCAAAGTTTCTTGTGGTTTGATGAATACGATCCTTTTTTTATCCAGATGAATCGAATTCGGGGTTCAGGTTAGAGAATTTTGTGAATTCCCATATGACAATGTGAAAACACAAACTTATATATCCTTTATGTTCTGGTTAATATTCTTAACGTAGAAATTTACACTTGTGTTTTTTTGACTTTTGCAAGTTTGTTTGGCTGTCTTTTTTTTTTTTTTTTAGTTGTCTGGCTGTCTTTAGTTGACCAACAAACTTCATCCTCGCTAAAAGCAAATGAAATAGATTGAGATTAAACCGACCCGTAACTATTTCGTGCAAAGCTTCTAATTAAGTGATAATGGTTTATCTAATGTTTATATATAGGCCTTTCTAGAACAACATCTCTATATAACAGTCATTTACTTTTGCCAAGTCTTTTGGAACCGGTTTAATATTATTTTACAATATATGTCCTTTATAACACCACTTCATTATAGCGGCAAAAAAATATCAAAACAAAAGAGACTGTTAGAAAGAAGTTTGACGGTACATAAAAAATTAATTCAAGAGTTCAAATATTATTTTTGACGTGGAATAAAATGATAAAAGTTACTACTTTATCCGTAGATGTGGTATGTAATACTCCTTTTTGGTACGTTGTTATGAGCAGCTCTGGTGCTCGATCTTGGGTCTGAGGTATGGGTCGAATCATGATAAAGAAGGTTCGGTGGTTGTATAATTCCCAAGCGGAAAGTCGTATACTTTAAAAGTAGATGGAGTGATCAAGCGGCCCTTCTTGCGCCTAATCTAAGTAATTTAGTGACTTCCATTTAATTGTTTGGTTAAGCTTTATTTTTCGAAAAGTCCTTTGAGAGGTGAGACATTTCTGAAAAAATTAACTATTACTCCCTCCTTTCCAATTTATGTGAATCTGTTTAACTGGGCACAGAATTTAAGAAAAAATGAAAACTTTTGGAATTTGTGATCCTAAACAAGTCAAAAAGGAGGCTAGAGTATTTGTGGTTATAAAAGCTTCTCATTAAGAGTAGAATTGTAAGTTTAAGCTAAATTGTTTCCAAATTTAGAAATGGGTCATTTTTTTTGGAACGGACCAAAAAGGAAATAGGTTCACATAAATTGGAACAGAGGGAGTAGGTAATACTCACAATTTTTTTACAGATATACAAATACTTTGGTTGTTTTGCATAAAATTTCTTAAATACTTGTTAGGTATTGGGGAAATGCAAAATGTGTTATAGGAATAACACGTAACACCGTAAATACTGATCAGTACGCATGCCATTGCTGACAAGTTTGATTTTTATTAAAAAAAATTCAAGGATTTTGCCTAATAAAGTCTATTCTCAAAGATTCTACCTTACAATACGATCGGTGCATACTTAAAACCAAAAAATATAAAAGAAAAAAGCAACCACCTTATGATTATATACGAACAAAACAACCAGATAATACCTTCCCACAATTCCCATATATTCTACCAAATATTTAATCATCAAAAGGAGTACAAAATATGCTATATCTACATGTGTATTAGGAGGAGTATATAATTAAACAAAAAACGGAATACAATAATTTAAAGGAAAAGCTCACCAAAGTGATCTCATGAGTCATTAATGAATTCTATCCCATTGCGCGAAATACTAACTTTCTCAGGTTAACAATTTCTTTTAATCGTCAGCTGTGATTGTTTCTTCTTAATTCTACTCGGAAGGGCAATTAGTCCAAGAAGAAACTGGTCCTTCACCTGTTGAGCACACATTTTCCAAACCCTTCTCATGATTATGGAATTCTGATGTAGAAGAATTACCAGAACAATTAAACTTATAACCACTAACATGTTGTTGTGATGAATTTCCACCATTGTTATTATTGTTGTTACCACCAAAAGATCTCAGCTGATTTTCTTGACCCCCATCATTCTGACCATTACCACCTGATCTCCACAATCTTGAAAGATTATTTCCATCATTTCTTGTTTGACTAGAAATTCCCCCTTGATATCCACTGATCAGATTTGCACTGACTTGCTGATCATGACTTATTCCAAGTTCATCTAAAGAAGGAACAATAGTACTATTTGTTCCTTGTGATGACTTGGTGCCGAAAACCTGTGCATTATTAACCAATGGATGATGCTGCTTAAATGAAAGAATCTGATTCTGCATGTTGAACAAGTTTTGTGCTTGTTTTTGCATTCCAAGATGATCAGAACCTAGCTGAAAATTTGTTGAGGTAGAGGTCGAGGCCGAGGTACTACTAGTACCACCAATTATAGAGTTGTTGTTTCCAGTATTGTTATTTGTTGGCATTAAAGCATCAATCATGCTAGAACTCAATAGTGATGATGAAGAAGTACTAGTAGAAGAAGATAATTGTGGCATAAATGGAGATACTTGATTAACCTTTTGTGCTGAAGGCCTTGAAGGGTAAAGTAGTCCAAGAGTATCCAAATGACCCGACCTCATCGCCGAGCCAGCTGTTGAGAAAAGATCAAGGCGGCGAGTGTAGGCTGAACCAGTAAACGGAGCCGTAGGGATGCCAGTAAATTCTTGAACCATTTGTCGAAAATTTGTGGTGTCAGTAGTAAGGACAGTGGTTGGCGCCCTCCTTGATGCCCTGGTCCGTTTTTTCGGATTTTTTACCACATTGGGCTGATGTTCGGGCTGGGCCGAGTTCGAAGCCCGTTGTATAACATTACCCGCAGTTTCAATTGAAGATTGTTGTAGTGGTACTGAAGATGAACCAGAAAAAAGGTTTTGATGAAGAACAACTTGAGTAGCATTTGCTGAGGATGTACCAAAGTTGTTGAAGTTTTGGTCAGATCTTAGACCCCGTTGTGACCAAATGAGATCATTAGTATTAAACTGAGAGTTTGCATTTTGTGGGAAATTGGTGTCAAGATTTTGTGAGTGAGGATCAAAGAAAGTGGGATGTTGGTGGTGAGAAAGAAAAGGTGGAGGTGGATTATTATTAGAAGATATTGAACCAAAATGGAGAGTAGGATTATTATTATTATTATTCAAGAAAGTAGAGATGGATTCTCCACGTGAATCATACTCTTCATCCCCACCACTTGAAGATTGCATACTACCACTATTCCCAGAATCCATTGGCTTCTAATGTAGTTAAAAGGTCAAGAAAAAAGAATAGGGAAAGGAAAGTCTAAGAGCTAGTATATTTACTAAAACCTGCAAAAGAGAAAGCGATAGTTGCAAAGTTTGAATAAGATTCTGAGCTAGGAAGCACCAATATAGAGATTAATCCAGAAAGAGGTTATAAGCCCAAGAAAACAAAAAACAATTATAAAAAACAGTATAGTAGATTCGAGAAAAGATTTAAAAAAAGTACCCATATATCTTGAAAAGTTCTGATGATAGATGATCTAAACAATGGAGTTAGCTCATCAAGCTCACTTTCTTGGACCACAAGCTTGAACTCGAACAATATTAATAAAAAAAAATCTGGGGCTGTAAAAAAAGGTAAAAAGATTTGATTTTGAGTTCTTGGATCAGATATTCTGCATTTCGATTGTTCCAAATAAAAACGCCTGTAGATTAGGGTTTGAGAGAAAGGGGAAAGAGAGAAAAGAAAGGAGAGAGGAAAGGTTAAATAAGGGATTGGTTTGAGAGAAAGAGGAGGGGGCTCTGAAAAAGATGCAACAAGTAAAAAGCTTACGTTTTTTCCTATACAATTAGGAAAAGGAAAGCCTAGGTGGGGGACTGGGTGGGTGGTGGGGTAGCCATTGGAGGGGAGCAAAGAAGCTGCCGCTAGGTGGCAACGGGTCAAACTCAAAGAGATAGATAGTGAGAGAGATAATAAAAGGGGGGAAAAGAATAGTTGGCGAACCCTTTAGATTTAAGTGTGAAAACAAGAAAAATGAATACAAGAAAAGTTTCATATGGAAACATGTAAGGGAAGAAAGACAAATGTACTATACGAGTAGTATATTATAATGAAGTGAAAAGGATATCTAAAAGAACAATTTTTATACTTAAAGAGTGGGTAGCCAACTAAACTTGCTTAAGCTGTCTTGTGAATTTAACAGAGGCGGATATAGGCTTCCGCTGTCGGATTCATCTAAATAATACACCAGATGCATAAATTTATATGAAAATTTTATTGAAATTGCAACAAAATATAAATTTATAATTTTAAAAGTATAATTAGTTCAATGCTATATAACAACTTTAAAAGTTGAGCTCATATAACTTACATTCTGAATCGTTATCGTAGAGTATAATATTAAGTGAATCCATAGATTGAAATCTAGTGCTAATCAACAATTCATTTTTAATTAAGACAATTTAGGAGCTTCTCAAAACTGCAAATTCTCTAAATTTAATTGGATTATCCATGCTTTAAAAAACATATTGACAATTACAATTCTGGTTTTTATCAATCAAATGATATACTTAATGAGAAAGTGACGGCTAACGTTTCTCAAATCAAAATTTTTTCTTTTTCCATCACTTTGTGCTCTATTTATTTTCTAGTTATATGAATAGTATTCTTTTTTATTCATGAGTCATGCACTGCCTAGCATCACGGAAAATCCGCTTGTGACTATATTTTTTATAATTAGAAGAATAACATGCATATAATGGAATCAATCCAATATATTTTATTTAAAGGAAATTCGGTTAACAAAACTTGATACATAACAGATGCAATTGTATACCTCATCCTTTGACCAAGTCAGAATGGACCATCCAGAAACTTGCTTGAAACATTATAAAATAATTTAACACATGGAATCTTCTACCCTCCACGTCAGGAATTAGTATTGGCACATGTTGGTAGCCATAATAGAGGTAGATCATAATTTTGAGTTTATAAATTTCTAATTCTAACAAAGATAGCTTACTTAATTTTGGATAAATTATTTATATCTATTCAATTAATCTTTTTAATATAAATACAAGATTTTAACTAAAATTATTTTGTTCGGTCAAATCCGTAGCTATATCTCTAATTCTGCTTCTAACCATAATTATTCGCACCAAAATATTCCTATTCGTTGTTGAAGTTCTTCCGTATGTGAAGGGATGAAAGAAACTTTAAGTTCATGATATGTATGTAGACTGTGCCCTCATTTGATATGATTTGAATATTTCCGCATGAATCTTCACATGATCTTTGAGCCTACACTTTGATACATAATAAATAAAACTTAGATATATCTACCATTGTCATTTATAATTAAAATGTTTAGATGGATAGGCCTCATAGTGATTAGTTCAACCACATTAATCTTTGTTAGCTGCAACCACATCTAAAAGGGACCAACAAAATATTATAAGAAAAAATAAATTTGAAGACCACATTTTAGCATTTTAATAAGTAGGAAGTTAATAATGTAACTGAGGTAGCATGGTAAATTTAAGTTTGCTTTCTGTAAAATTTTCCCCCTTTGCATATTAAAAAAGAGAGAAAAAGGGAAGTTGCATAAGAATTATCGGTTTTAGGTGTAAGAAAATTAAGAACTGCAACTTTTTTTATATTTTCTTTTGGGGAAAAAATAGCCACTATATCCTGGATGCGTCCGACGCATTATTATATATTAGTGGTTGTACCCGCACGGTCAATACTAAAAATATTAATTAAATTAAATTGTGATCGAGATTGTTTGAACATATTAGAGCGTATTGCTTTAATAAATTTCAGTTGTCATCATATTTGTCAATACAATATACCTAATAACAAAATATCTATTAAATTAAAAAGGAGAGTTATATAGTTATCAAATAACTTTTTTGTTCTATATTTTTTTATTCTATTATCCAAGTATATTACATTGTTAAAATAAATGTGTATTAGCGTATTATTTTATTTAATATTTTTTTGCTACTTTTATTTTAATATAATATAAAAATATATATTTTATTACTCTTAAAAATTTATTTAAATTTTATTCTATTGACTCAATTTTCAGTTGTGTAAATTTATCAATAATATTTATTTACTTTACTATATTTTTTTGGTCGTGTCCACATTAAGCCACGTGCTAGCCTAATAATAAGTTATTTGGCATTGGTCTAGACATTGCTCTACATTATAATGCAAGAAAAAAAATCAAAAATTAATTATATCTCCTAAAATTTTGGTAAATAATACATATGCAATAACTTATTTTCGCCCTAGATTTTTGCTATCTTTTTAATTGATTATATCTCCTAAGATTTTTTCTTTTCATGAGGAAAAAAAATATTACTTATTTGATGAAATCTTATAGCTTTCAATTGGATCTTAGGTTATAAATATTGTTATAAACATAGATTTATAATTATTATAAAAGAGAGAAAAAGGGGAACAGTTTTGCATAAGAATTCCTGGTTTTCAGGTGTTAGAAAATTAAGAACTGCAATTTTTTAATATTTTCTTTTGAGAAAAAATAGCCACTAAATATTGGATGCGTTCAGACGCATTATTAGATATTCTCTTGTTATGCCTATTGGCCAACCCTACGTATCAAATCCCAAACTCTAAAGATACAAATTCCCCTAATTGTGAATACGGAATATTAAAAATTGCGGCCATTGTTTCATCTTTTATCCGCTGAATGGTTTCTTATCATATTGATATTCACTATGCGCTTTATATTTCGATTATTAAGACGTAATACACACACTTTGTAACAAACTGGATATCACACGTAAACCAACTGACTATATTACTCACTAAACGGAATTACAACAACCAAATAGCAATAGAACAGTAGAAAATAACACTAAAGGAAATAGAGAGTAGATGAGGAGAGAAATTGCAATCCAAAACTAAGAAGAAAGGGGATGAAAAACTAGAGTGAACGGGATGAGAGACAGACTGAGCGAGGCTTCAACATAATTGACATAATCCTTCTTTCCAAACACGTAGTCCTTTTTAACCACTTGCTAACTGGGCCTGGATCCCAAATATAATTCTCTAACATTTTACTCGGCCCAATAATCTCAATTGACCCAATCTCATTTGTTAATTTGCACTGAATTGAAGACAAGTTATGACATGCAAGAGGAATTCAACACAAATGTATGATTTCATTGAAGAAGAGAGGAGAGGAGATCGAGAGAATGAGCTCTTATCTCTTTTTCATTTCTTCTATTTCTACAGTGATAACCGACTTAGTTATTTATATTAAATAAGTTGGTTATTGCTTCTATTATCATCAAATAACACCCCTAACTTTTACTATTTCCACTTCAGTCCTAACTACTAATTAACATGAAATTGTACACTCCCCCTCAAGCTGGAGGGTGAAAAACATTGAACAATCCTAGCTTGGATATCAGCACTCTATGTTGCTCAGCTCCAAGTCCTTTTGTCATAACATCTGCTAGCTGCTCCTTAGTGGAAACATATTGAGGTTCAATCAACCCCTCTTTAATTTTTTCTCTCAAAAATGGCAATCAATTTCTATATGCTTTGTTCTCTCATGGTATACTGGATTGGCTGCAATTTGCATAGCTGCCTTGCTATCACAGTGCAATACAACTGGCTTCCTTATAGTCAATCCCAATTCTTTCAGCAAGCCTACTAGCCAAACCAACTCTGAAGTTACTGCTGCCATGCTTCTATATTCTGCTTCAGCAGAACTCCTGCTTACAGTTGGCTGCTTCTTTGATTTCCATGAAATCAGTGATTCTCCTAGCTTGATTACATAAGCAGTCACTGATCTTCTTGTATTTGGACAAGCTGCCCAATCTGCATCACAATAAGCTGTGATTTCTTCTACTGCTTCTTTCTTTAACAACAGCCCCATTCCAGGAGATCCTTTTATGTGTCTAACCACTCTCAATGCAGCTTCCATATGTGATTGTTTTGGATTCTGCATGAATTGGCTCAAAACTTGAACAGCAAAACAGATATCTGGTCTTGTGATGGTGAGGTAGATCAGCTTTCCTATTAGTTTCTGATAGCTCACAATGTCTTGCAGCTCATCATCTCTTTTTACTTCTGCATGTTTGTCATACTCAACAGTTGTCAATTTTATGTTCTGTTCCAATGGAGAACTAGCTGGTTTTGCACCACTTAATCCCACTTCTGAGATTAGTTGAAGGGCATACTTTCTTTGGTTGAGTACAATCCCCTTGTCTGATCTCATAAGTTCAATTCCCAGGAAATACCTTAGCTCACCTAAATCTTTTAGCTTGAAATGTCTGTGTATGGTTGTCTTTGCCTCTTCCACCAGTATATTGTTGCTTCCAGTGATCAGTAAATCATCCACATACACAAGGATGATTACCAAGTTTGCATCTGTCCTTTTTGTGAATAAGGAATGATCATATGCACTGTGTAGGTAGCCTTCACCTATCAATGCATCAGTTAATTTGATATTCCACTGTCTTGATGCCTGTTTGAGGCCATAAAGTGACTTAAGTAATCTGCAAACCTTGGACTCCCCCTGCTTATGAAATCCCTGAGGTAATTCCATGTACACCTCCTCATATAAATCTCCTTGTAAGAAGGCATTGTTAACATCCATTTGTGACAAGGGCCAGCCTTTGGAAACTGCTAGATTGATCACAGTTCTGACTGTCACCATCTTGGCAACAGGTGAGAAGGTTTCATGATAGTCCAAACCTTCCTGTTGTGTGTAACCTTTTGCCACCAGCCTTGCTTTGAACATCTCCACCTCACCATTAGCTTTGTGTTTGATTTTATACACTCATTTTGAACCAATAGTCTGCTTTCCTGGAGGCAGATCTACCACCTCCCAAGTTTTGTTTTCTTCTAGTGCCTGAATCTCCTGTTGCATTGCATTTATCCACCTATCATCCTGTATTGCTTCCTGGAAATGCCTTGGTTCTATATGGGCTGAGAATGAACTGAGATAACATTGGTAGTGGTCTGAAAGGTGGTCATAACTTATATAATCTGCAAGTGAATAAAGACAGTCTCCTCTTGGCTTGCAAGGAGTCAC